ACCTACTTTTGTATAAGTTTGAAAACTTCATAACTGCTCAATTCAAAAAAAAAAAAAAAACAACTATTCCCCCAGATATTTAAGATGTTCTTGCAATTTGGTTCCAACTTAATTTGCAACTGTTATCTTCACTCTAAGTCTCCAGAACATTTCCAAGCATCTCCAACCTTGTTCTGATCTTCATCTGGGCTTCCCCTGTCCTGGAATAAGTTCACCACCTCACTATCACTCACTTGGCCCAGGCACAATGACACCTCTGCTTGGAAGACTTCCCAGCTTACTTTGTATAGATACATTTTCTCCTTCTCCTGAATTCTTAAATAAATTAACCTGTAATTCTCTAACAGAAGAAAAAAATTAAATTCACGAGGGTGGCAGGCATTGCACTAGGCTGCTTTCATAAGATTCTATCATTTGAGCCTTACAACCATCTGTGAAATTAGCTACACAACTTTTTTTCTTTAACAAGGAAAATGAGGACTAAAGACATTAGGTAACTTTCCCAGGGTCACAAAGCTGGTATCAGCGGCAGAACATTACAGAACAGAGGAATTCTCGGGAGGAGCTTGCACAGCAGGGATTGCCACAAAAAGGTCTCCATGGGAGCCTCTGAATAAAATGGCAACTAGATGACAGAAAGCCCTCTCTTCTCAACACTGGAAAATATCTTCCTATATGTTCTTGACTTACTTCCTTCTCGTCTTTCACTACTTTGTACCCTTAGCCATAATAGCAGCAGACGTTTTAGAAATTCCTTACACATGGCTACCCCTGATAGGAGGGCTATTACACTTGCCCCACAAAATCCTGTCGTGAGGCACACTTGAAGTAAAACTCCATTTTTTTTTCCTACAGGAAGTATCCTCCTCTCCTCTGGGACCATGGGGAGTGTATAAAGTAGGTGAGGCCCAAGCCTTTTAGTGGGCTCTCTCCTCTGGAAGGAATGGGTATTTTCAAGGTCAATTTCCCAGCATAGTCGCTGGGCATGTGAAGCCCTACATCTGAGTCGGAGCCCCATACTATGGTTATTTCTTTCCCACATCCCCACCCCTTGTAAGTATGCACACAAATGCTCATGGACCCCTTCACATGGACACTTCACTGCAAAATTTAACAAGTCTTCATATTCCTGCAGTAACCGAAAAACAAAGAACTAAATGTCAAGTAGCCTTGGATGCTACTTGTATCCTAGATGCGGGCAGTGGATGTAGCACTTGTGATTGCTCCTGGAGATCTCAGCCCACAAGAGTAATGCGATGTCTAGCAAGGGGAAAGTGGTAAATATAGAATGGGACCAGCAAGTAGATCAAAATAGCCAGTTATTAGATTCTTCAGTGACATGGAAAGCATGCAAACAAAGAAGGTAACAAAAGGCATGTAAAATATGGTATCACATTTTTAAAATCCACTAGATGCATATTTATTGATATACAACAAAGACTCTAAGACTATCTCCCAAAATGTCATTATCTATATTTCTGGGTTGGAGTTAGAGGAGATTTTTTATGTTTTTCTGTACTTTCCAGGTTTTTTTTTTTTTTTGAGTTATATATATTTTTTCAGGTGTTTTGTTTTTGTTTTGTTGAGAGAATCCCAGGAGAGGGAGAGAGGGAGAGTCTCAGGCAGGCTCTGCTCTGACACAGGGCTGGAACCCAGGAAACATGAGATTACGATCTGAGCTGAAATCAAGAGTCAGTCACTCAACCGACTGAGGTACCCAGGAGCCCCTTAAATTAAATTTTTGACAGTTAATACCCATCACTGCACAGGTTACAAATATTTTTCTCGTGATAAGACCTTTTAAGATCTAGCCTTTTAGCAGCTTTTAAATATACAGTATTATTAACTGTATATTTGAAAACCATGCTGTACATTAGATCCCTAGGACTTATGTATTTTATAACTGGAAGTTTGCACCTTTTGACTTTCTTCATGCATTCCAAAGTTTCTACAGTGAGTACTTATAGCTTTTATATTGGTGCGGAGAAGAATAAAAAGAAAATCAGAGAAGAAAGCATTTGATTGGTGATTTTACTAAAGGGAATAAGACACCTGCTTTTATTCTCATGGGGGGTGGAGAGGGATGGTCTGGCAAAAGGAAATGAGGATTCCCATTTCCAACCATCCAAAGACGAGAAGAAAAGGAAACTCGGCACATTTGTTCCTTCAAAAGGCAAAGGAACAAGATAACGGAAAATAACGATGCTTGGAGCTGGAACCAAATGAAAAGAAGGGTCTGGGGGCCTCAAAGGTAGATTTCAGAAGCTTTTCCACCCATGCCTTTAAAACTAGCTAAGGATGGTAACCACCTGTCAGCCCAGGCCTGACTCTAGGAGATAGTTCTGTTCTGTGCAGTCCCGAGGCCAAGCACACCAGTCCAGGAAGAACACTCAACACTATTCTCCCAGCCTTAGAACCTTAGCATCCATCATCAGGCTCTTCCTTGGGAGTAATATGTTTACTTCCAGGAATGAGTATGGTGTCTTTACAAACCAATAATCATGGGGAGAAAGACAGTCACTTCCTTATCCTCCCTTTCTCTATCTGAATGCAGAAAAGACAGAGACAAAGAGACAGAACAGTTGAGTCCAATACAGTTGCTGCCCCACACTTTCAGAGCTGAGAGCCATCAAAGATTAGGGAGAAAATTGTGTCTGCTTTCTTTATGTGGTTGCAGCAGGAACAGGAACCAAAGAAAAGAAAATCCTTTACGTGCATATAAGTGTGAATCCTGTGAAAGCTGACAGGCCTGACTGTAGTCACCCAGTGTAACTATGGGGGGGTGGTGTCCTTGATGTCTTAGTGAGGTCCCCTCCCAAAAGTACCCCACAGTTCCTGGAAGAGAACATGTACATGAATTATTGCAGGCATCAGGATGCGTGGGGCTCAGTTTCATCTGGAATGAAAAGAGGAAAATAACAACAGAAGCCGACAATTTGGTGCAGCCCAGAGCAGGCGGGCAGCATTTGGTTTCTGTTCGGAAGAGCACCCAAAAGGGTGGTGTTGACTTGAGACACATCCGGGCCTTTTTGATTTAGGAACAACACTGGAGAATTAACTTTGATCTGGGCATTACACTCTGCCCACAAGATTCCTGGGGCTTCCTGGCCTCAGGAACACACATCCTGAGGAGTGAAAAATATGCATTTATGTCTTCAGCCTCAGGGGGATGTCACAGAAATGGAATAATGTGGAAAGGTCAGACAGAACCAGGAGAGTGAGCCATCTGCACCAGCTACTGTGAGGTTATCTGTGGGGGCACAGAAGCTGCCTTTCTAGCATCACGGCCTCAAATGTTACGGACAGACCCCAAATATATTTAACCTTTCCTTCCTTTAATAAATCATTATAAATCTAACATATAGAAATGTGGCTCAACAAATGTGGCAAGAATATGACCACCTCAGCATCAATGCCAAAACCATACAGGCAAACATATATACACACCCCTTCCATAAATTTAGTCTCTACTATATGCTTTTTCAAGCCATGAAACATCACATAGGCCTTTTTTTCTTCTTTATTTCTATACATTTTCAGATAAAAATGAATTTTTAACTGGGATGTCACCGCATGTGAGTGTAGCTGTGGATTGGACATGGGTAGATGTTGATTTTCTTTCGTCTTTGTTTTTACATTCCCTTAGCTCACCTGGAAGTTTGTGTGAATATGTGAACAAGCGATTATCAGTTTTCAAGAGTTGTCAAAAGGCTTACTGGTTATCTGTTTTTAAGATCTCACTGCATCAACAACGGATCAACAAGGAGCAACAGAAGGGCACCACATCCCAAACCAGTGCAAGGACTCATCTTTGACTTTCACCCTTAGAGCCCTTTGTTTTGTTCATTCTCTTTCTCAAGCCTCTCATTTTCTACTCTTTGTTCTTGTCCCCAGCTCTCTGTGTGATCTGGGGCCATTTCTTATCAAGATCCCCATCCTCGGTTCCCCTGCAGAACAAGGGGACACATAAGACGTACCGCATGTAGAAGCAGAGTGAAGGGGTAGTGGGCTCTTGGATGTGAAACAGATTTAAAGAAAACATTACCAAATATATGGAATTCTTGCTACTAGAAAATTACTTGCTCTGTCCCAGAAGTTCTCTGCTGTGAGCTATGGTATCTCCCCACAGAAGTACAGAACAATGGGGACTTTAGGGAGAGCATTGGATGGGGAGTGAAAGAAAGGTTCATATGAAAAGAGGGACAGGGGCAGGGATGGAGGACCACAGCTGTCATTCTCGGGCTTATTTCTCTTTGTATATATGCTTTGTATCTCCACTGAGGTCTGTGGGAAACAAGGACCTCAGTGTGACTGCTGTGTGTTTGTATGTATGTGTGCTGATGCTTATGTGTTCCTGTGTTAACAGTAGTACCCTTCCTGGGATGGGAAGGGTGATTTTCCAACTTTACCACTGCTAAGGGGGTTCTCAGAGAGCCCTTGCCTGCTTCCTCATGTGGTCTGCCTGTGATGAACTCCAAACAGCATTCTGGCCAGAGATAGTGGTGGCCTATTTCCTGCCCACGATCACAAAACACAACCATCTTTCTGTGCAAAAGCCTGAGACTAACCTGGTCATGACACCTTGACTGCAAGTCATCTGCACACAAAGTTTTCAGAATTGTAAGTATCCTGTCCCCGAAAAGAGAAATACACGGGAGAAAGCCAGCCCTACGTCGTCCTCTACTTCGTTGGTTTTGGCCTTTTCCTATGCTAGGCTGCGCACCACCATGCATTACTGTCATCCCAGCCTACGTTTTTCCCCTACTATAAAATATGAAGAAAGACAGCAGAAAAAGGTGCTTTTGTTTGTGATGACATGAAGGAAGAGCTGGAGGGAGGGGGCAAACTACCGGGTCATTGTCAAGGTTGACAGAGCCAGCCTGTCGGAGAAACTGGAAATCCAAGATGAGCGTTTCAGCCCTGGCCCCAGCTTCATGTGGTCACAACCAAACTAGAACACTTCACTCTCCCGAGCTTTACAAAAGGATTGGTGGACTTACCTGTGGCTGAAATCCTTTGAGGTCACTGGCTGCAAGCTCACTGGCTGTGAGGAGCTGGAAAAGAACAAAGGGGTTTTTCTGAGTTTGCACAAGTTTGCACACAGTATCCTCAGGACAACTTGGCAGTGATGGACTTACCAGCACCTAGATCTGGAGCTAAACATGATATTTCTGGGCCAGGAACCTGGACCCAACAGCCTTCTCACCTGGTGTCCACCACACCTCTGACTTCATCACCTCCCTCTACTGCCCCCTCTCCATGTACCTCCAGTTCTACAAAGGGTATTACATTACAGATGGGATTATATGTGGACTTCAGCAGGTCCACAGCCTCCTGAAATTATAAGTACAATCATGCATGAATTTATAGATGTATAACACTTCCTTAGGGAGAAGACCCTAGACTTCTTCCTACTATCAAAGTACAGTGTGATGCCATAAGCTAAAGAGACAGTTAAAGACCCTCTCCTCTGGGAGGGCTGATTCTTCCTCTTCCTCTTCTTCTTTCTCTTCCTTTTTCCCTCCCTCTCTCTTTACCCTTCTTCTCTTTCTTCCTCTTGCACTTCTTCTCCTTCAGTCAGACCAGTAAAAATAACCCTTCCCTTTACCCACCTACATGTGACTCAGTTTCCCTTCATCATATATTGTCTTTGATCTTATATACTATGTAGGTGTTCACAGCTTACGCCTCAAACTGCCATGCACAGTATCAGAAGATAAGAGTCAGGTTTATATAGTTTCTGTGTTTAATCAATATTAAAGAGTCAAGTTCATGTTTTGATATTTTTGCATCCTCTCCAGAAAGCACTAAATAGAAGCATACAATTAATTGTTAAAATAATCACATTCTTTATTGTTGCACAAAAAAATGCTGGGAAATTATAGGATAAAGAGAAAAAGGGCAGATGCTTATTTTGATTTAAGGAGTGTGACTGCTAGCTTTGTTAGGCCTGGAGAGTGTCTGTGAAAAAGAGGAAAGATTTCATGTTTGCTGTAACAATATTTTATTTGGTTCAGGGAAGAGAGGGAGTCAAGCTGGGCTCCAATGCCTCTAGCCTTCAGGAAAGCTCAACCAGGCTGCATAGTTTCTCTAAATCACTTTGCCAAAAATGATACGTATAGTGGTGTTAACTCGGGAATAGAGCAGAAAGGAGGTAGACAATGTACATGCTGTACCTTCCTCCCCGTCCTGAGGGCTAGATTCCTCACACTGAAAGTGCCTACAGAAGGTGGCAATAGTCCTGACAGCCAGCCAGTTGGCCCCTGTGTTTGTTATGAAACAACCAAGCAACAAGCCATTAGGGTACCTGACTAGACACCAAGGGCCAAACCTAATCATAAGACTTGTTAGTCCCTTCCTTTAAGAAATCTACAGTTTGGTCAAAGGATGAGATATGTTTATGTCAGTGTGAGCAGAGGGTAGCAGAGTGTAAGCATCAAACTGTGTTCATAAAGCGAGAGAGGTCAGGGTAGGGTTGCTTTAAGAAGATGGAGCTGGAACTGAACCTTGCAAATGCAAAGGCAGCAGGGCAAGGTGGTTCAGGTGGGGCAGATGGAAGAAGAAAGACATGGACGTGCCAATCCCCTCCCAGCTCGCTTTGGGCCTGCTCATTGCCAGCCATGGCATACAATAAGGAGAAGGGTGGGAATTAGGAGACACCAAAGGTAGAGGATCCCCTAGGTAGCCAGCAGTGTGGCCACTGCCTTACATACTTATTCTTTTTTAATATTCACAACTGCCACATGGAATAGAAAGTATCTCCACTTTATGAATGGGAAAATTGAGATTCAAAGGAGGTTAAATAACATTTTCTAGGTCATGTAGGTAGTACATGTATGTACCCAAAACTACATTTTCCCAAAGCTCATCCTCTCCCTTCTACGCCTACTATGATGCCTCTGGATTATAGCACATTGGAGATAATTTGTGGAGGTGCCACGGTGTAGAAAGAAAAATGGGTGCTACTTTATTAGTCAATGAGCCATGGGCAGTAACATAAAGGATGTCCCTATGAATGACCCTTCACTGACCCTTCTTCCAGACATTTCTTTCAATTAATTGGTAATGCCCATCTACTCTTCAGAGCTTACCAGTTCAGTCTAAGCCTCTAACTTGAGCTGAGCAAAAGTCAGAGTGAAGCTGGGGAGGAGAGACAGAAAGGCTGGAGTGAGGTATGGGCATGGGAGTGACCTTTGCAAGGACAGAGCCACCAACATGTGTTAGCACATAGAATCAAATCTCTGAATTCTCCAGGCCTTGGGAATCCAACAGGCAGGGATCTTTCTTTCCCTCCTTTAACAGGGTTCATCAGATAGAAAGCATGAGACAAAATATCTACTTCCTCCTAGTACTGAAATGCTTCATCTAGTTCAACCACAAGGGTGTTCACAGCATCATAACATATGCACTATTCTCTCATGTCAATGGTTTTGGGACTGAGAAGTTGCGAGATCTATTCATGTGGTTGGGTATAGAGATACGGCATCTTTGGTTATTACTTGTTATATCCCTAGCTCAACAAAATTAGGATCTATCCCACCTTCCTGGAAGACTTATATCTTCTTTCCTTCTCTTCAAGGGAAACCAGATGCATGTAATTTAGTTCTTAATTATTTAAGGCTCTGTTTTGGGTTGTCATGTGTATTTTTTGTTTTATTTTTTCACCTAATGAGACCAGGCCCAACAAGACCATGATTTATTTCTTATGTAACTTCTGCATTCCTCAAAGTGATGAGAGGAGTGTAGACAGGTGATTAGTCAATAAATACCTGTTGGTCAAATGACTTAAAAGGAAAATGGGGAATATTGTCAACCTAGAGGTGAAGGCTAGGACAGCTAAGTTGCTGAGCCTGGAGAAGAGAAGTGTGAGAGACAGCTTATGACACCCTTCAAGTCAACAAGAGGAAATGGCACTCAGCATCTAGAGCATTTCCTGCATGAAGTAGGCACTCAGATATTTGAATGAATTAATTAACTTACATGATGAGAGCAAGCTCTTCTCTCCCTGCTAAAGGTTTTATGAGTGAACACTTCAGTGTAGGAGTCAAAGTAAAATTGAAGGAAAGCCGGTATGAAAGAAAAAGTGGTTGAACAGTGAATGAACCCACTACCAGACAGAGAGGGTAAGCTCCCTTAAGTGTGCATGAAACAACACAATGGGCTCATGGCCATTCAAATGTGTTCGCTTATCTGAGCTGGGTTTGGTGGAAGCAGTGAGAAGGTGTCAGGTATGGTTACCAAGTACTTCTAGAACTTCTGAATGCCTTACCTTGGAGATTCTGAACTATTTCCATCACAATCTAGCATGCAGATAATTTAGATGTCATCTGACCTGGAAAGAGCCAAAAGCAAGCTTGGCGACTTCCTCCCTTAATGGGTCCTGAGTGAATAGTGTGCAGAAGCCTGCTTTCCCCAAAACATCCAGCTAGGCCTCCCTCCCTGCCTGGCTCCTGGGTTTCTACCCTTGCTCTAACCAAATACACGAACTCTTGGGCAAAACACAGACTCTGCTCCTTGGCCACTCCCATTTACAAAGCTGATTATTTCCTAAATGTCTACACATTCCACATGCAGGAGAGAAAGGGTTGGCACTCAGCACTGAAGCCTGGTGCTCAGATGTAGATTAGAAATACAGGATAGGAAGTCCTCCTGTATTCTGAAATTGTAGCCCACTAAGATCTGCACCCCAAAAGAGCTCCAGTCTTATAGACTATCAGAACCTGAAGGAGAGAGTTGAAGCTCTCTGGGTAGATAAGAAAAATCAGGGGTCAGGAGCCACTTCTGTTAGGGAACTGGAGCAAGGGAAGGTGGTATAGTCAGAGAGCCCCTACTGTGTCCACCTCTCCCTCCCTTCAACCAGAGTGGTTCTGCTTTTCTCTCTTTCATGTACACAAATTAATTTAGAGTCAAATGTTCTTCCACTGAGATGAATTTAAACCTTCCAGACTAAGTCCTTATTTTGCAGAAGAAGTTGATAAATGACTTCTTCAAGATCACATTGCTCGTTAACAACAAGCCTTGGTGAGTCCTGTAATCCCCAGTCCCTCTGCAGAAACCCTTACTAGTGACCATCTCAGGCCAGTTCAACACAGCTGGCTGCCTGCCTCTGTGCTGAAAGAGAACATATGCTCAGAACACAGGAGAAACTGAGGCCTGGGAAAGAAGAAATTCGCATGTCCCTCCACAAAGCCACTGCCCTGAAAAGCACTGATCTAGACCCTCTCCAGACCATCCCCCCACTCAGAAACTGGCCTCATTCTGTCCCACTGGAAAAACGTTCACTGCCCAGAGCAGCCTGGTTGTGCGGGGAGGGATCCAAGACAGGAAGGCAGAGAGGGAGGAAAATGCAATCTGCTATGGCTCTGGGGACTTCAATCAGGCTGAAGTTAATGAAAAGGATCCTGCCTTTTCCCAGGACTGCTAAATGTCTGCACTGCTCCCAGTGAGAGGGTTGAGCGGGTGTTGGGGGGAGAAGGGCAGACAGAATTACATTTAAAAGGCAAAGGAAGGAGAAAATTCTTTCATCTCCCTGGTGGAGTGGGCAGTGTTCCTGGGGCCCTGTCTCAGACCATTCTCATTCCTGACATGTCTTGCTGTTCTCTGGAACAGTCCACATTCAAAATATTAGGATGATGACCCTGCTTTCCATTTTTGAGGAGCTGCAATTTCTCTCTTGGCACAAGTTCTTCTTTTTTTGTTGTTGTTGTTTTTGTTTGTTGTTGTTGTTTTTTGTCTTGTCTCTCCAAGCCTGTGGGGTGGGAGCAGGGAGGAGGATGAAGGAAGCTGTGAGGCTCTGAATGGGTGAGAGAAGAGTCTCTTCACCTTAGTGAGCAGAGGCATTCTGCTCTCTGCTTTCCTGCCACCCAGCTCTCTGCACGGGGGTCTCCCTCTGCTTCCCTCCCCAAAAGTCACTTCCATCCAGCTGCAGCCAGCCTCACCTTGTGCCCCCTAGGACTGCCCCTCAAGCAGCCATACATCCAGCCACGAACTCCCAGTGTCTAAAGGTTACCTTAGAAGAGGAAAGGGGGCTACTTCCTTTTTCTCCCTATGTCCTCCTGCCCCAGGAACAGAATTTCCTTTCTGCTGGTCCCTTACCAAAAGGACACACCTCATTTGGGAAGAGTGGGGCTTAATATATCCCTACTGATCCCCCAGGCTGACCTGGGATACATGCACCTGGGAAGGGGGTCATTGACACAAAAGGAGGGATATGGGTCACCCTGGACATCTGTCCAGAAGGATCTCAAATTTGCAGACATGCAGCTAGACACACTGAAGCCTCGTTGTACTGAGGATCTTCTAGGTCATGTTTTATTGCCAGATATTTCTTCCCT